CGAGAACACAACGCGTCACAATAATAACGCGTCAAAAATACAGCACATGGAAATTACAATTTGTTGAAAATACAATTATGAACACAACGCTTTGCAATCTAAATCAAATTTCCCTCTACTACATCTAATAACCCAACCTCTCCTTATATCGCCGTTTTCCTAAAATCTACCATACACCTCATTGCACATAAAAATCCTTACAAAAGGAAATTAATTCATCCAGATAATACGAGAGTCGACTGCAAAAGTATTTCTTAAATTCCCATCTTAATTTTCCCATTAAGTGCACTTTATACAAAGTTTCTCCTAAATCGAATATAAGACCGATTACAGAACGTAAGATAAGGCGATAACGGAGGTAAAGAACTAAAAATAACAGAATAGGTAAAAGGGTTATAAAAAGGATCGTTATACCCTAATCAATGTAAAATCCTCTTGTATACAAAGGAATTTTCTCATTTTCATCGCGAGAACGTTACCTTCCCTCGTTGCAACCCTTCAGCATCCCTCCACCCCCAAGAATCCTGCATTTCATCAAATTAACCTAGATCATACTTTTCGTAATCCATTTCTTATTTTAATGTCATTATCAAAAGTGTCCATGGCGTACCCATGAAAACATCCCTTTGTCCTACCTGATTCTACTTCGAGCGTGAAGTGTCCCAGACGATGTGTCTCTTTCTCACAGAAAAATAGTCGCAGTAACAACGAAAGATCAACAAATAAAAACATAAGAAGGTTCACACACAAGAAGTTATCTTTTTTTTTCTTGTTTCAGGGTGGAGGGTAAACGTGTCACGTTCTGAGGTGTCGTGTCTCTACACAGAAATGCAAGATGCTCATCTACTCGACTAAACTGAGGATGCTGCATTCTAGGCTTATTTTCTTTTTGGTGATGTTTATGTATGTATGCATGTTGCACGGTCGTATACGGACGGGTGGAAAGAGAATGACGTTTATCGAGCATCCAGATTCAAGATGCGAACCAAACTAACAGGTCGTGTGTGTGTATGACGTACACAATACAGACATGGATTTGCGTGATTCAACATTCGTGCTTCGTATTTTGGAACCATTGATTTTTGGCGATTTATAGGCTTTCGAGACTCGAATTCTAAATTGTGCTTTTTGAATATGTATGCTGGTCGATGTTTTTTAGATGAGATTCTTCCGTGTTATCGACTGCAAATATTTTTTTTTTTTTATTAAAAGTAAAGTCGTGTAATTTGTTCGTATTTGTATGACATGTACTTTTCTTCTTGTTCATTTAATTTTTAATAGTCTCAATAATTTTAATCATTTTTAATAACCTTAATGATTTTAATCATTTTAATAATCTCATTGATTTTAATAATTTTTGATAATCTCAATGATTTTAATAATTTTTTATGACCTCAATAATTTTGATAATTTTTAATAATCTGAATAATTTTGATAATTTTTAATAATCTCACTAATTTTAATAATTTTTGATAATCTCAATAACTTTGATAATTTTTAATAATCTCAATGATTTCAATAATTTTTAATAACCTCAATGATTCTAATCATTTTAATAATCTCATTGATTTTAATAATTTTTGATAATCTCAATAATTTTAATAATTTTTTATGACCTCAATAATTTTGATAATTTTTAATAATCTCAATAATTTTGATAATTTTTAATAATCTCACTAATTTTAATAATTTTTAATAATCTCAATAACTTTGATAATTTTTAATAATCTCAATAATTTTAATCATTTTTGATAACCTCAATAATTTTAATAATTTTCAATAATCTCAATAATTTTAATAAAATTTAATAAACCCAATAATTTTAATAATTTTCAACAATCTTTATTAAAAGTACAATGGTGAGTCAATGATTACTAAAAATTGAGATTACTTGTTCAAATTTGTATATGAAAAAATTTCTTTTCAAATGCAAAATGATTTATAAAAAATTGACTTATGTAACGTCATACAGTAATATCTTTTTGAAGCTTCAAAACCATAGAATCTTTAAATTTTTGAATTTTAACACTTTGACTTTATTAAATGTTCTTGTTATAAAGAATGTAGGGAAAAGTTTAGATGATACAATTTGTGTACTGCACCTCGTAGAGTATGTTTTATAGACAGTTCCAAAATATGTGGCACGAATGCAAGGCAAATAGAAAAAGTGGGCCACGGGAGTGTTTCACATTTCGTTGTTTTATCGATAGGACAGGCGCTACAGAGTGGTTAGCAATAACTAAACAATACAATAATCATTCGTGGGCACTTCTCGACAGTGGACCTAAACAGTTATGCTTGTATTTCCCTTGTCGATAATTTCCTCGACTCTGTTCACGAAACTCTGTCTTGCAAAATGAACAAAAACGAATCGTTACCCGACACGTTGTTTTTAATGATCGAATGAAATGAAACAACTGGTATGATAAAATTGATTCACCGAGACGATGGATGATTCTCTGTTACAAGAACATGAAAATTTTAACTTAGGATATTGCATTGCAATCTGGGTGACTATGGTTCAAATCAGTCATTCTTCCGATTTCAAGTTCCTTGTTATAATAATTTTGTGTAGCAGACGAGTGAACCATTGAATCAGAAAATGTTGAAACGAAAATTCGAATACATGGTAGAATTCGAAGTTGAAATTCGGATACTCGAATCATCCAAATACCAGAAATCTGAATATCCTAGTATTCAAATGATTCAGAGACCGCTGAAGTCTGCATTCGAATTACGTATCCAAAGAACCGCTCAAATATTCACACACCATTACAAATTCCGTTCGAAGCATGACTCAATGTGACGCTGATGAAAACTGCTTGAGTCCACTGCGACGATTCGCGTGGTTACCCAGATCAAGTGATCGAATCAAGTAAATAATCTACTAATTCATCATCTTGAATAACGACTTGAAGAAGATTGAAAGATTTAGAATTTGATTTTTCTGGGTAACTCAGCACAGTCCTTGCAGGATATGAAGTGCGAGCCAAGTGCATCGACTATGAGTAGTAACACGAGGCTTGTGAACGAATAATAATCACGATGATTATCGCTAATGACAGAGCAAGCGAGGATGAAATTCGTCGAATAATGTCACACGCGAATCGACGAGAAGAGATAGATCATCCGGGGACGCCATGGTGTTGCCAATGGGAATGGATAATCGCTGCTGTATGGGGTGATTTCGGGTCAATTTCACCTCGCTTCTCCGATCGCCTACGCTCTATAGGCGGGGATCAATGTAACGGGTGTCTAAGTTGTTCGGTGCACGAGCAAGAATGATTTAGGCACTTCATTTCGTTACCACTGTACATTTTATCTTATATATTTTCATTGGAGATACACATAGTTTTCAAGAGATTATACAGATTCACGTTTCAATGAAATCTACTGATACTCACTCGTATGTTCACATGTATAGTAACGCATGTTATGGACGTGTGTATAGTAACACTCTGGAGAAGTGTTCAAATATTCGAACGTCGAATGCAAATTTTGTGGATGATCGAATAATTCGTGTGCTATGAGCTTTAAATAAATTTCAAGTTTCATTGATGTTTAGATAATTCAAGTACATGTACTTCATATTATAATTCAAGTATATGTACTTTATGTTATAATTCAAATACATGTACTTCATATTATAATTCAAAATAAATGTACTTCATGTTATAATTCAAAATACATGTACTTTATATTATAATTCAAAATGCATGCACATCATGTTATAATTCAAAATACATGTACTTCATATTATAATTCAAATACATGTACTTCATATTATAATTCAAAATACGTGTACTTTATATTATCATTCAAAATACATGTACTTCATGTTATAATTCAAAATACATGTACTTCATATTATAATTCAAAATACATGTAGCTTATATTATAACTCAAAATACATGTACTTCATATTATAATTCAAATACATGTACTTCATATTATAATTCAAATACATGTACTTCATATTTATAATTCAAAATACATGTACTTCATATTATAATTCAAATACATGTACTTCATATTATAATTCAAAATACGTGTACTTTATATTATCATTCAAAATACATGTACTTCATGTTATAATTCAAAATACATGTACTTCATATTATAATTCAAAATACATGTAGCTTATATTATAACTCAAAATACATGTACTTCATATTATAATTCAAATACATGTACTTCATATTATAATTCAAATACATGTACTTCATATTATAATTCAAAATACATGTACTTCATGTTACAATACAAAATAAATGTACTTCACATTATAATTCAAAATAAATGTACTTCATGTTATAATTCAAAATACATGTACTTCATATGATAATTCAAATACATGTACTTCACATTATAATTCAAAATAAATGTACTTCATGTTATAATTCAAAATACATGTACTTCCTATTATAATTCAAATACATGTACCTTATATTATAATTCAAAATACATGTACTTCATATTACAATTCAGAAGTATGTACTCTACTTTGCAGTAACATTATACTAACATCAAAAATTGAGAAACATCTCCATTGCACTCATCTTAATTATTTCCCCAAATTTCCTTTAGAAAGACTTCGCGGAACTGAAGTGGTAAGAAATGGAAAAAGTGTCGCAAGAGTCTGAACAAGTGAAACGGAAGTACGTACAGTGGCACGTCCTGAAGCACCTCTCGAAAAGAACGAAAGGGCTGATGAACAGAACCTCTATATAATATATATATGTATTTATATATATAATATATAAACATGGGGGGTTTGTGCAAGACGGATGAAGAACGAGCTGGGTTTATGGACTATGAATTCAGGAGCGTAACAAAGAGAAAAAGATAGACATAGTAACAGAGAGAAGGTGAGAGGAACCGAGACAGAGATAGACAGAAATAGAGAGTATACAGAGGAGGGGATGTAAAATTTAATAGGTGATATAAAAGTACTGTCTGTCGTGGTCCATGAAGCGCTGAAGAGGGCCGGAGGTACTTACCCTGTGCATCATACTTACTGGAAAAGTTCCTCGTCGCCAACATGGTCGTCAAAATAGCGCCCTGCGAACAAGACGTGCAATCTTAGTCTTCACTGAACTCATTTGTGCAAGTTTAGTTAATTAACTTCTTTCCTTATATCATAAAATCTTTCTTTAAATGAAATACTGATGTGAATAAACATAACAACAGTCCACCATAAACACATCAGTTTACAATAATAAAATCGATATCCCGAGGACGCTATCACGTACCGATGTCAACCGAGTTGACCCAAAAGAAGCCCCACCGTGAACACTTCGTTGCATTTCGCCAAATAAGAACAATAATGACAGTAACAACTGCTGAACGCAAGTAGCGCTATCTCACTCTCGAGACGTTTGCCTGTCACTGTTTTTGGCCTAATTGGTGTGCGACCGCGAGAGCCAATACACCGTCGAAAATACGTGTGAGTCGTCCACTTTTCTATTCCGACCAATTGTAGCTCTTCTAAACACGTCAACTCACGCGCCAACTCGTGGGTTGACATCGGTACTCTTCGCAACCCTGAACCTGGCGCGTAGCGGCTGACCCAGGCTTAAGACGCACCCCACCTTGAACAGTCCTAATGTGACCTGACGTTCGAGGTGAAACCGACTGTCTTAAGTTGTCTTTAACTATCGCCGAAGCAATACCACCGAAAATACGCGTGTCATTTTTCTATTCCGACCAATTGGAGCCGCAGCTCGTGTGAACACCTGGGTCAGCCTTTTCACGCGCCAACTGGTGGGTCGACATCTGTACACGAGACACGTCATCACGAATTAATCATGTCCATTTCTCGAGACGTTCGTTTAAATGGCCCTTTTGTGCCATCTCGGCCAACATCCGGCCCGTTCTATTGCATTTATTGAACGGTGAACTTTAGACTCGCTCGCGACACTCGCTCCATTATTTTCCACCGATAATTCCTTACGCCCGAAGAATTCTATGCTTATCAGTATTCTCTCGGGCGCGATCCACGGACGTTCCTTCGCCCGCCAGATCGATAGATTACCTCCGCCATTAATTCGCGTCCAGAGTGTCTTTTATCTAAATTAAACGACACCCATCGTCGACCTGTTACTTCTCCGATTCTACTTCTCTTTTGAATTGCGACAAATTTTTAGGAAATTGGGATATTTGAAAATTTACAAATTTACAAATTCTCACGTTTCCAAATCCCTAGATATCAAATTTTTAAATTTCTAAATCTCACGTTTCAAAATTCTCTAGATACCAAATTCCCAAATTTCCAAATCTCACGCTTTCAAATTCCCAAGCTACCAAATTCCCAAATTTCTAAATCTCACGCTTGCAAATTCCCTAGATACCAAATTCCCAAATTTCAAAATCTCACGCTTTCAAATTCCCTAGCTACCAAATTCCCAAATTTCCAAATCTCACGCTTGCAAATTCCCTAGATACCAAATTTCCAAATTTCCAAATCTCACGCTCCCAAATTCCCAAATTTCCAAATCTCACGCTCCCGAATTCCCTAGATACCAAATTCCCAAATTTCCAAATCCTACGCTCCCAAATTCCCTAGATACCAAATTTCCAATTTTCCAAATTCCCTAGGTACCAAATTTCTAAATTTCCAAATTCTGACATTACCAAATTCCCTAGATATCGAATTTCTAAATTTTCCAAATCCTCGCATTACCAAATTCCCTAGATACCAAATTCTCACGTTACCAAATTCCATAGATACCAAATTCTCACGTTACCAAATTCCCTAGATAACAGATTTCCAAATTCCCTAGCTACCAAACTCCATATTACCAAATCTTCCAATTAGCAAATTTCCAAACCACCAACTAAAATCTCAAAATCACCAAATTCCCAAATTATATTTCCCCCTAGATCTAAAAATTCTCCCCATATAAAAACCCCCAAATCTCAAAATTTCAAAAAATGCAACAGTAATAAAATGTCACAGAAAAGCTATATCTATCTTTAATATAATTGATATATAAAAGGAAAAGAGTAAAGGACTGAGCAATTAATAGTAAAATATAAAAGAAAAGGAAAGAGGATAGAATTGTTTACCGATAAATAACAAGATTGTTGAACGGTGAATTTCTCGATAACGATACAACAAACACGAGCGAACGAACGCAAATAAAGCTAATAAAAGGGGCGTCGATACAACACGCTTGACGTGTATCACTGTACCATCCAGAAAATATTTACTACAAATGTTTACCGAACAGAACAATCGATTTCGATTAGAGGCCACCTTCTATTTCTGTACCGGGACACGCTGCTGTAACCTCTCGTCGTCTATTTAAATTCCGAATATTAAATACATACAGCGGCCATTGTTGTCGTTTATGCCAAAGGAACAATGCTGTTTTTGGCGTAAGCGACCATTTTTTAAACGTAGTTTGGGACTTTCAAATTTTCAGATTTTGGATTTTGGAGTTTCTGAATTTTTGACGTTCAAAATTTGGATTTTGGAATTTTTTAATTTTTGAAGTTTGAAGTTTTGGAATTCTTATTTTTTGGAATTTTGGGACTTTCATTTTTGGATTTTGAAATTTTTTAACTTTCAAATTTTTCAACTCTATATTTGAATTTATTCATTCTTCAGTTTTTTCATTTGTGGACTTGAAATTTTGGACCTTCTGTATTTTGTTATTACATAATTCGAAATTATGAAATTTTTTGAATACATAACATTGAATTGTTTGAACTTTGGAAGTGGGAAGTCTACGTCCCTCGAAAGCAACGTATTAAATAAAACACAACCCGACATCCTCGATTAATAATTAATCGCGATGAATCAAATACAATATATACCTCTGGAATGGTCGCTTCCGGTTGTTTGCATAACGCAAATTTGCTTTTCAACGCCTTCATATTTCATTCCTGTTGAATCTTCGCTAATTTCGCTAGTGTTTCGACTGCTGTCCGAACTACACTTTTCGCTGATATTTTTAAAATAAACGATATATTCGCGGAACACTGGCACTCGTAGAGGAAGGTCGGTGTTTTATTCACGACGTTCAAAAACTCCGGTTGTTGTATGTTTTTTTTTAATATTTGCAGACAGATTTGTTACGATTTTATGACGAATTTAAACCAAGTGTTTTTATGCGCCATGAATGTTGTTCAGACTCGACGTTTCACGCTGAGCTGATAGTAAAAACTTTCTTGATTAAAAACGAACGCGTGTACCATCTGGCTGTAACGTGTATCGTTAAAATCTGACCCTTGTTCCATTATGAAAATTAGCTCCTATCGCTGATCACGAGAGTAATTAACAGGATTGGACAACATCCAGACTTTAAAAGAATGTTTCATCGTAATTTCTGCAGCGTAAGAGGGAACGAAAAATATAAGTACTCTTCAATCGCTACTTTTAGCCGTTTCGTCGAAACATTTAAATATAATTTAAAAGAAACGTCAGCTCCTATAGGCTCTCGTTATATTGCCGACTTATAGCGGTAGAAAAGTTTTGGAAATTGGCAATATATGGAGATGTTCCATTTATGCACAGAATCAACTATTATAATTACATATGCAAAAGATAACGCAGTTACGTTATTTCGCGTTATATCGCCACGCGTTAAATTACCACGCATTGACTTATTGCGTGTTATATCGCCGCGCGTTATATCGCCACTCACTGCAATTCCACGAACCGACTTACTACGCATTGTGTTGCCACGCGATATATCACCAAGCATTACAATTTCAAGCTTTGACTTATTGCGTGTTATATCGCCACGCGTTATATCGCCACTCACTGCAATTCCACGAACCGACTTACTACGCATTGTGTTGCCACGCGATATATCACCAAGCATTACAATTTCAAGCTTTGACTTATTGCGTGTTATATCGCCACGCGTTATATCGCCACTCACTGCAATTCCACGAATCGACTTCCTACGCGTTGTATTGCCACGCAATATCTTACCTAGCATTGCAATTTCAAGCTGTGATTTATTGCGTGTTATATCGCCGCGCGTTATATCGCCACTCACTGCAATTCCATGAATCGGCTTCCTACGCGTTGTGTCGCCATGCGATATATCAACAAGTATCCTCAATTTTAAGCTTTGACTTATTGCGTGTTATATCGCCACGCGTTATATCGCCGCCCATTGCAATTTCAAGCGTTGACATACTACGCGTTGTATGATATGCATGTTACATCGACAAGTGTTAAAGTATCATAAGTTGCTTCACTATGTGTTATATCGCCGAATATTGCAATTCGGCGATATAGTAATATAAGTGATATATGTCTGAAGAGTTTTATTAACACGCATTATATCGTCACCTGTTAAATCGCATTCAGATCTAATAACTGTGACCGCAAAAAGATTAATCGCGTTATTTTATTCGCCGAAACCTATTTCGTTATTCCGCAAAATTAACCAATTCGAACGATCAGGTGACATTGCTAATCACGGTAATTAATATCACGGTAATTGGCATCACCTCGATCCTTGATACTCCAATTACTCTAATGAAATTCGATTATTCCATTACACGAGATTAAACACCCTAAACGATCACGAAAACATCACTAATTGCTGTAATCAATATCTTTGACGCATTAAGGTTTTCCAAAAAGCCCTTAATTATTTTATAGTCTAATAACATAGAACCTGCTTAGAAATTATGTAAAAACATAACAAGCTTGCATTTCTTACTCTGCTCACGTAAGACCTGTCCAATGACAAAAATTAAAAATCGAGTACTAATTAACATTCGGCTTAATGGAACGATCGCGTGATCGATATCTGGCGAATCTACATCTTTCGCTCGACCGTGTTCAGATAGTATCGATCAAAAGTGATCGAACGAAAAAAATCAAAGAAAACGAGCGTATGCATGAATGTTATTTATACGAGTACTGTTCCTGTGGATGTGGTCGATATCGAGGTTTACTTAATCACTGCCAACCGTGCAAGAAATACGATCGCTCGAACAACGAGCCATCGAAGGTACCCCGTATACTATCTTATCCATCGATTACGCTATAAAAAAGCCGAATTAAAAAAGGTATCGGTGCACTCCGCTCCGCTGTAATCTCTTTAGTTGCAGGTAGGATGCAGGTAGAACAATTGCACGAGTGATACAACGTAAGATGAGATTGTGGTTTGCGATATAACACATGGTTGCACTATGTATTGCGGTGCAATGCGAATTAACGCATCGCAATATTATGCATGGTGATATAACGTGCAGAACTCAACGCATGGCGATGTAACAGGCAATATTTCAACGCGAGGTGACGTGACACGTGGTAATACTACGTATGGCGATATAACGCGAGGGAACTCAATACGTGGCAATATAACGCGAGGTAACTTAACAAGTCGCAACTCGATGAGTGATAAGTCAACGCGAGGTAACGCGACGCGTGGTAATACTATGTGTGGCGATATAACGTGAGGTAACTCAACGCGTGGCAATATAACGCGAGGTAACTTAACAAGGGACAACTCGATGAGTGATAGCTCAACGCGAGGTGATGCGACGCGAGGTAATACTATGTGTGGCGATATAACGCGAGGTAATACTATGTGTGGCGATATAACGCGAGGTAACTCAATACGTGGCAATATAACGCGAGGGAACTCAATACGTGGCAATATAACGCGAGGTAACTTAACAAGTGACAACTCGATGAGTGATAGATCAACGCGAGGTGATGAGACGCGTGGTAATACTACGCGTGGCGATATAACGCGAGGTAACTCAACATGTGGCAATTCAACGCGAGATAATTAAACAAATGGTAATTTGATGAGTATTAACTCAACGCGAGGGGATGCAACGCGTGGTAATACTACGCGTGGCGATATAACGCGAGGTAACTCAACGCGTGGCAATTTAACGCGAGATAACTAAACAAATGGTAATTTGATGAGTGTTAACTCAACGCGAGGAGATGCAACGCGTGGTAATACTACGCGTGGCGATATAACGCGAGGTAACTCAACGCGTGGCAATTTAACGCGTGGTAACTTAACAAGTGGTAACTTGATGAGTGTTGTATCAACGCGAGGTGCTCCGACGCGTGGTAATACTACGCGTGGCGATATAACGCGAGGTAACTCAACGCGTGGCAATTTAACGCGTGGTAACTTAACAAGTAGTAACTTGATGAGTGTTAAATCAACGCGAGGTGCTCCGTCGCATGGTAATACTACGCGTGGCGATATAACGCGAGGTAACTCAACGCGTGGCAATATAACGCGAGATAACTCTACGCGTGGCGATACAACGCGTGGCAATGTAACGCATAGTAATATTACACGTGGCGATACATCATCGCGTGTGAATACAACCCGTATTAATCTTACCCGCGGCGATATAACGCGCAATAACTCAACGCGTGGCAATATAACGCACTTTAACGTGTAATAACAGCTACACTTTAATAACAGAAGGGTTAAAGGACCGTTCGTAAACGACCCAGGGATGAAACGTGTGCACTGGTCACCGGTATCGATACGAAAATTTAATGACCGCAGCGTCGTTCGCATAAACGGAGGGACAAGCCGCTTAATGAGTCACCACGTGTCATTGTGCCTGGTCGTGATTATAAATTATAATTTCTCAGCGGACGACTGACGGTTTCGTGTTTCAAGGCGTTCGTGACGTTCGCTGATTACGAGATATCGACGTTTTACATGAAACAACACGTTTTTTTGTTAAACGACAGCGATCGATGCACGGATTGAAAAGGTTTTTAAGCGCTTTTCTCTTTCGATAAACGTTACGTGTGCTAATTAAGAAATTTTATCGCTTTAAACGACGACAGCGAGGAGAAATGGAGCATCGATATATTCTACGAAAGAACATTTCTTATTTACTCTAATGCACGGAATAATTTTGTTGCACATTTACAAAAAATGACCTAGTACCGAATACATTTTGTCACGAATTCAATTCACGTTTAAGCAGATTTTTTAGGAACAAACCACTACACCATATTTCTTTTCAATACATCTAAAAATATACACTGTTGACTTCAATCGCAATAGCACTATGCATACGATGACACGTTGGTAGCAACCTTGTCGAACTTTTTTACTCTAAAGTACGCAAACGCTACGTACGCGTTCACGTATATTAAATATTGTTTAAATTATTGTCGCGCTAGAAACATGTGTAATAACGTGATTTATCGGTATGTAACAGTTTGTTAAAATGTGAACGAAGCACTTCGAAACCTTATAAATCGCGGCAACACATGTAACACGCACACGATACCGACGACAATTCGAATGACACTGAACAGTTACGTTCGTAACAGGCCTCGAAGCGTAAGTGACCCGAGGTAGGGGTATCTACGAATTCCCAATCAAATACGGCCTTTACCACCTCCAATGGTCCCTTACCCAAGTATGTCCACAAAGAACAAGAAGGAACCATAGAAGGGGTATTGTTAAATGCCAACGCGATCGGATTAAATTGCGGATACAGAAACCGCGGAAAACGGAGAACTACTGTGGCTTTTCTGCGGAGATTAACTTTAGAAGGCATCGAGAACGTATCCTAAATCTTTAAGTATCTATGTTTCTAGATCGTATTCCTAGATTCCTATATGACACGATATTACAATTCTGCCAAATCGCTATATTGTAATATTCTTAGATACAAATGTCCCTAGATTTCAACATTCATTCCAATATTCCTAGAATCCAATACTCATTGATTCCAACAATACTAGGTCTCAATAACTTTATACCCCAACATTCCTAGAGCTCAATATCCCTAAATCGCAATATCCCTAGACTTCAATACCCTTAGATTCTAATATTCCCAGACCCATAATTCAAATATCCCTAGATTTGTAAATTCTAGAATTTCGAAATTACCAAATCCTTAAAGTTAAAAGACTCTACATCCAAAAATCCTTAGATCTCAAAAAATCCCTAAATCTGAAAAATTCCTACGTCCCAAAAACCCTTAGATTCCAAAAGACCCTAGATTCCAAACAATCCCTAGATCCCCAAGATCCCTTGATTCTAAAAAATCTCTAAATCCCAGAAAATCCCTAGATCCCAAAAAATCCCTAGATCCCAATAACTCCTATATCCCAAGAACCCTTAGATTTCAAAAAATCCCTAAATCCCAAAAACCCCTAATTCCAAGAACTCTTGGATTCCAAAATCCCCTAGTTTCCAAAAAATCCCTAGATCCCAATAACTCCTATATCCCAAGAACCCTTAGATTTCAAAAAATCCCTAAATCCCAAAAACCCCTAATTCCAAGAACTCTTGGATTCCAAAATCCCCTAGATTCCAAAAAATCCCTAGATTTAAAAACCCTTATATCCCAAGAACCCTGAGATTCTAAAATCCCCTAAATTCCAAAAAATCCCCAGATCCCAAAAATTCCCTAAATCCAAAAAATCACTCGAAACTCGAATTCCCAAATTACTAGATATCCCTAGATGTCCTAGTGATCCTCAGTAATTCTAGTGTTTGGATATCCCTAGATTTCCATGTAACTAGATAATGATATTCCAGTGTTTCGCAGTGGAGATTGAAATAAAGATAAAATTTGTAACGCATCGATCGATGACCATGACAGTCACCTTGCACGGAATAAAAGAACGATTAAATTGGACGCCCTCGAGGAATCGATAACCTCGCGTATCGGTGAAGCACCATCGAGACAAAGCGAAGTCGATTTCATGTTGCCAGCTAGTCGATCGTGTTCCACCGTCAGTTTCGAGCTAAGGTCTAATGATCGAACGCTAAACACTGGTTTATCCCGACACAGGTAGCCGCTATAGATCATTTAGCGAGCTTGGCGAACCTCAACGGTCGATGTCTCGAATCGAAACTCGCGTGTAACTAGTTAGCTCGTAGTTCGGATACAACGTTGCCGACATATTCTCGCGGTGAATTCTATTAATTGAGAAACTCGTAGCCCCGTATCCGCCGCCCTTTAATTACTTGTCCGAAGCGGACCGATCGTGCCGAGGGAGCATTATCGTTTAATTAAACTGCGTGAAACAACCGACTCACCTTTAATTTGCGCCTTGCGTTGAATTTCTTCAAACAGTCCACAGTCTCTTGTCTGTGGACCACGGATGCTACGCGTTCACGTTGCTGCAACAAGCGAGAAGAGAAATTAGCACCGGGCGATTCGGGTTGAGGTACGTTAATCGGTACGTCTGCTTAATATCCCAATTTTGTTTAATACGTATCGGATTTTAATATGGAGATCAATCGGCGCTGCATTAAGCGCCGACAAATTTTAATACACCGTACAATTATATAATTTTGTACTCGCTCGCGAAATTTCGATTATTGCGAGCTAATTAACTTTCTTATAATTTATTTAGTCTCCTGTGCGATATCTGAATCCCGATTTTAACGCAGGGAGATTATATGTCAAAAATCATCGAATTATTGAAGTTAGTTTTTTTATAATTTCTTCGTCTCTGACGTAGCGATTAATGATCGTAGAGTTAGGTTCTTTTACTTACGCAGATCCAGGGGTGCTTCAACGCTTCGCTGGCGGTGATCCTTTTGCTCGGGTTCACCGTCAGCATCTGATTGATTAGGTTCTTGGCTTCCGGCGTGACGGTGTCCCATTCTGGACTTGGATACTGGACAACAGATACAACGGTGATAAATGTATTTGCCGTTCCAGAAACGCGTAAATTGTTCGTCTGAATGTTTGCCAGGGCAAAGCTTATTTCGTTAAGAAACCAGACCGCGAAGTAGAAATATCTCAGACGATCAATAAATATATATTCGCAATATTTCAGGGTTCTTCATATTTATTGATGCTATATATCGATCGTCGAAATCCTGAATTATTGCCAGTGCGTATCGATCGCCCAAGGTCTTTGCTATGATGTACTGTGTACTGCAGACATGTACTACGTTTATATTGTACGTGCATTTATATTGGATGGGTCAAAAAATGAAGATGTATAGTGAACAAGTCATAAATGATGTAAACTAAACAATTCAGGAAATGAAGATATATATTGAACATATCATATATGATGCAGAATGAACAAGTCTGAAATTGAAGTACATTGAACGAGTTAAAAAGTGAAGGTTATTGAACAAGTTAACAAATGATGTTTACTGAACAAGTCAGAAATTGGTGTATACTGAACAAGTCAGAAAATGATGTACATTGAACAAATCAAAAAATGAAGATTATTGAACAAGTTAATAAATCATGTTTACTGAACATGTCAAAAATTGGTGTACAGTGAACAAGTCTGAAATTGATGTACTGTGAACGAGTCTGAAATTGAAGTACATTGAACGAGTTAAAAAATGAAGGTTATTGAACAAGTTAACAAATGATGTTTACTGAACAAGTCAGAAATTGGTGTATACTGAACAAGTCAGAAAATGATGTACATTGAACAAATCAAAAAATGAAGATTATTGAACAAGTTAACCAATGATGTTTACTCAACAAGTCAAAAATTGGTGTACAGTGAACAAGTCTGAAATTGATGTAGTGTGAACAAGTCTGAAATTGATGTACAGTGAACAAGTCTGAAATTGATGTACATGGAACAAGTCTAAAGTTCATGTATATGGAACAAGTCAGGCAATGATATATACTAAACACGTCAGAAAATGAACATGTATATTGAACAAGTCTGAAATTGATGTACATGGAACAAGTCTAAAATTGATGTACAGTGAATAAGTCTGAAATTGATATGCAATGAACAAGTCAGAAATTGATGTACACTGAACTTATCAGAAAATGATGTATATTGAACAAATCAAAAATTGATGAATACGGAACAAGTTAGAAATTCATGTATATTAAACAAGACAGAAAATGAAAATCTTTATGACAAATATATCTTGTCCATTTGTCTGCACCACTTCAAGAAGAGAATTTTGTGCTTCCTTCAAAAACGTGACATTTCCAAGATAGCAACATATGTCGATAAATATTTAATGACGAGAAAACGAACCTTTGCATGACATAAATATGAATACAATGATTATCAAATATAAATACAAGCATGACGATTGTTAAATATACATGTGAGTGAATATTTCTCAACATGTTTGAATACACAGGGAATAGTATATCAAGGAATATTTCAGAAAGAATAATAATTTTGTACACATCAAAATGTGAAATATAAAACTGAAACCATCACTAGTCAGTCAAATAAAGTAACTCAATTCATGTCAATTTTTGTATTGTAATCAGTAGTAAAAAGTAATAGTAACAGTGCTTAGTTTCATAATTATGATAGCTCAAAATTATTGAACGACAGATTTAAAAAGGAAGGAAAATAAGGTGGAAATAATTTAGTATGAATGGTAAGTCATATAAGTTCTTACATCGTACGATCCAGCCTTGATCTGCGCATACAGTCGATGCTGATCCTCGTCCCAGAAAGGCGGGTAACCAACGAGGAGGATGTAAAGAATGACACCGCACGCCCAGATGTCGACAGGTTTGCCGTATGGTTCTTTCTTCAGGACTTCCGGGCTGAGGTAACCGGGCGTCCCGGCGAAACCTTTCCAACCAATCGATTCCATTTACTCCGAGGAAGCATTTTATTTTCCGTAGGGTAGTGATGGGTTCGAACCGAATTTAGGGAATTTCAGAATTTGGAGAATTTCAGAATTTGGGGGATTTGGAGAATTTAGGAAATTTGAGGGATTTGGGGAGTTTGGAGAATTTGGGGAATTTGGAATTTTGAGAATTTGGGGAATTTCAGAATTTGGAGAATTTCAGAATTTGGGGGACTTGGAGAATTTAGGAAATTTGGGGGACTTGGGGAGTTTGGAGAATTTGGGGAATTTGGAATTTTGAGAATTTGGGGAATTTCAGAATTTGGAGAATTTCAGAATTTGGGGGACTTGGAGAATTTAGGAAATTTGGGGGACTTGGGGAGTTTGGAGAATTTGGGGAATTTGGAATTTTGAGAATTTGGGGAATTTCAGAATTTGGAGAATTTCAGAATTTGGGGGACTTGGAGAATTTAGGAAATTTGGGGGACTTGGGGAGTTTGGAGAATTTGGGGAATTTGGAATTTTGAGAATTTGGGGAATTTCAGAATTTGGAGAATTTCAGAATTTGGGGGACTTGGAGAATTTAGGAAATTTGGGGGACTTGGGGAGTTTGGAGAATTTGGGGAATTTGGAATTTTGAGAATTTGGGGAATTTCAGAATTTGGAGAATTTCAGAATTTGGGGGACTTGGAGAATTTAGGAAATTTGAGGGACTTGGGGAGTTTGGAGAATTTGGGGAATTTGGAATTTTGAGAATTTGGGGAATTTCAGAATTTGGAGAATTTCAGAATTTGGAGAATTTAGGAAATTTGGGAGACTTGGGGAGTTTGGAGAATTTGGGGAATTTGGAATTTTGAGAATTTAGGGAATTTGAGAATTTGGAATTTTGTAAAATTAATAACTTTAAGAATTTTGGAAATTCCAAAATATAGAATTGTAAGAATTCCCAATTTCCCCAATTTAGAACTTCAAAAATTTACAAGTTCTCAAATTTGAAATTTTGCTATTATTTAAACTTACAAATATCTAAACTTCCAAATCCAAGAATTTATCAAAAACATGAAAGCTAAACCCGACAGCGATATCCCCAAATACCACACATCGCCATTGTCTACAAAAAGCAAAAAAAAAAACGACAGCCAGAACGGAAAGAAAAGGCAAATCGAGAAGTAAAGAGGAATGAAAATAATCTGTGGAACAATATGGAGAAAGCAGGTAGGAAAAGTGGATGTGTGGTAGCGAAGGATGATGGTTCTTTGACCGCAAACACAATACGGCGCTGTTCCGTAGCGAAAATCTCAGAACGGTGAATCTACTTTGCCTGCGGAAACTTTTCCAATAGCATGGAAAACTTTTGCTAGAGCTTTTCCGCGATAAAACAAACTGGAACAGCCAGTTGTACAAGGACGTTTCAACGCGAGGTTAGGCTACCGTACTCTACTGTATGTTTCGAAAGTTGGAAAACATGGACGCTATTAGTACTTGATTGAACATATTCATTCGCTTCTTGCATTTTTTAAATTACGAGTGTACAGAACTTGTACTACTTTTTATTTTGCATAGTCGCTTCATAAATATATTTTACTATTTCTGCTATAGGAATTTGGGAATTTTGCGAATTTGGGGAAATTGAGGAATTTGAGAATTTGGGGGATTTGGGGAGTTTGGGGAATTTGAGGAATTTGGGGAGTTTAGGGAATTTGAAGAATTTGGGGAATTTGGAGAATTTGAGGAATATGGGGAATTTGAGAATTTGGGGAATTTGGGGAATTCGGAGAATTTAGGAAATTTGGGGGATTTGGGGAATTCGGAGAATTTGGGGAATTTGAGAATTTGGGGAATTTGGGGGATTTGGGGAATTTGGGGGATTTGGGGAATTCGGAGAATTTAGGAAATTTGGGGGATTTGGGGAATTCGGAGAATTTGGGGAATTTGAGGAATTTGGAGAATTTGAGAATTTGGGGAATTTGGGGTATTTGGGGAATTTGGAGAATTTGGGGGATTTGGGGAATTCGGAGAATTTAGGAAATTTGGGGGATTTGGGGAATTCGGAGAATTTGGGGAATTTGAGGAATTTGGAGAATTTGAGAATTTGGGGAATTTGGGGTATTTGGGGAATATAGAGAATTTGGGGAATATGGGGGATTTGGGGAATTTGGGGAATTTAGAGAATTTAGGAAATTTGGAAGATTTGGGGAATTTGAGAATTTAGGGAATTTGAGAGTTTGGGAAATTTGAAAGTTTGGGGAATTTGAGACTTTGGGAAATTTGAGAATTTGAGGAATTTGGGGAAATTGGAGAATTTAGGAAATTTTGGGAATTTGAGAATTTGGTGAATTTGAAAAATTGCGAAATTTTGATAATTTAGGAAATTTGGGGAATTTGGGGAGTTTGGAGAATTTAAGGAACTTGGAAAATTTGACAGAAGTTTACAATTACTGTATAATAATAATTGTAACAATTGTATCAAAAATTCTATTCGTCTCAAGTAATAATTATAACAGCAAAATAACAATGATTACAATTAATAATTGCATTTAATTTAATTATAATAATTACAGAAAAATTTGTTCGAATTTTCAGAAATTTCAGCGGTGAAGGAGTTGTAATTAAAATATTGTAGAAACATCGAAATCGTAATATTTCTATGCACGTACAACGGCCATTAATCGACAAAAGGGTGGCAGAAAATGCAGGGACGAATGAAAATGTCGACAGTCAAATTTAAAATCGCGACAGCCTAGAAACGACGGAGAGAAACTGGCAGATGTACCGAAGAATTACACGGGAACGGTGAAAAAAAGAAATATCTTTTTCCATTTCGTTTCTTTTTTTTTTTCTATTTCTAGAACACCCACTTTCTGCCGACGCGGAAATGCAAACGAATTTAAATAAACCCCCGACGTCGATTCGTTACGTAAATTTGTAAACCTACGAACAAGTTTCCCGTCTCTCCTCATTTTTATGTATTTTTAAACACCACGATTTACACAATGAAGTCGATTATAATTATGTTCACGATGTTGTGTAACTTTTTTGCTACAACTTTCTGTACCGCGTTGTTTGGTCGACTTTGCGAAAATGCATTTTTCAGATGTTTCAGTACTGGCAAGGAAATAACGATACGTAAATATTTTCTGTAAATGTTTGGTTGAAGATAAAATAATATGGTACTTTTGGATATCTTATAAAGATAGAAGAACAGGTTTTAACTGAAAGAAAATAATGCGTTCAACAATGTTGTTAATTGTGGAGTTTCGTATTCATTTATTAAGAATAAAATATGTGATACAATTATCAGAATAAACATAATAAAATATAGTTCATATGATTAAATTTAGATTTTATGAAGTTAACTTTAATAAGACCATCTTTGATATTTCATAACTATAATTTTTTGTTATACCTTAAAATGTTATAAATTTATAATATTACCTATAGTACTTTTGCTATAAATTTTTTAATAGAAAATATTTGTTAATTGTAAAATTAATTATTTTTGTTTAGCCTTATTGCTTAAGAGACTTTAACAATATAATTTTTTTAGAAGCGACGAAATTATGTATCGAAGGGTTGATAGGTCATACGTGAATGATATATTAAATATTTAGAAAAAAAAATAGAAATAGTGAGACTTACCGAACCATGCTTGTTGTTCGCCCTGCACCTCGATCGCCAATCCGAAATCCGCTAATTTCACAGCCGCGCCTTTCGCCTTACTCGCGAGAAGTAAATTTTCAGGCTGTAACAAAAAGAATACAGTTCTATTAAACTTGCATATTACACTTTTCGAAAGTCCTATTAACTTTTCAGAGCGGACTAGTAACTTTGGGACGCTTATTTTGTAGAAAACCAAACGGGGTATACATTTACTTATATCACTTCATTTTGGGAGAAATTAAGTTCAACATTTTTTAGAACAGAAAATAATCGAAACTGAATAATTGAAAACTTGGAAACTTGACAACTTGAAAATTAAAAACTTGAGGAATTAAAAACTCGAAGAATTGAAAACTTGAGGAATTGAAAGCTTGACGAATTGAAAACTTGCGGAATTGAAAACTCGAAGAATTGGAAACTTGAAGAATTGAATAGCTTGAGGAATTGGAAACTTGAAGAATTGAAAACTTGAAGAAATGGAAACTTGAGGAATTGGAAACTCGAAGAACTGAAAACTTGAAGAATTGGAAACTTGAAGAATTGAAAGCTTGAGGAATTAAAAACTCGAAGAATTGAAAACTTGAGGAATTGAAAACTTGAGGAATTGAAAACTCAAAGAATTGAAAACTTGAGGAATTGAAAACTCGAAGAATTGGAAACTTGAAGAATTGAAAACTTGAAGAAATGGAACCTTGAGGAATTGGAAACTCGAAGAACTGAAAACTCGAAGAATTGAAAACTCGAAAAATTGAAAACTCGAAGAATTGGAAGCTTGAAGAATTGAAAGCTTGAGGAATTAAAAACTCGAAGAACTGAAAACTTGAAGGATTGAAAACTCGAAGAATTGAAAACTCGAAAAATTGAAAACTCGAAGAATTGGAAACTTGAAGAATTGAAAGCTTGAGAAATTGGAAACTTGAAGAATTGAAAACTTGAAGAAATGGAAACTTGAGGAATTGGAAACTCGAAGAACTGAAAACTTGAAGGATTGAAAACTCGAAGAATTGAAAACTCGAAGAATTGAAAACTTGAAAAATTGAAAACTCGAAGAATTAAAATCTCAAAGAATTGAAAACTTGGAAAATTGAAAACTAGAAGAATTGAAAACTAGAAGAATTAAAAACTTGAAGAATTGAAAACTCGAAGAACTGAAAACTTGGAAAATAGTAAAATATAACCCTTAAAATTGAGAATAAAAAAATTGAAAGCTGAAAAATTGGTAATCAAAATAATTGAAAGTCTACTGCCCAAACAACGAATCCTTAAACCATTAGAACTGCTCTAATTTTCCATTCATTCTATCGCAAAAAGAACCCACAATCTCCCACTCATCCACCATTTTCGCGCACCCTATCCGTCGTAGCGAAAGGTTTAATTAGCGCAAAGAAAAATGGTTTCGAACAGCAGACTTCATATAACCGTAAAAATCAAAATCAGCAAGATAAATCTCAAATTTCCTACTGACTCTGTAGATCTAACGAACCTATTAAAGCTTCTCTATTTACTTTTCACAATTTCCATCTTGATCTTCTTTTGTCTGTCCAAATAGTAAGTTCGCAAAGAAATGTTTGCTCAAAGCAAATTTTATTCGAGGTGCACTGAATCATTCAAGGATGACATTTTGTTGAGTGATTCTTTTTTTTGACAACGTTGATTTCTTATGTCAGAGTTAGGTTAGGGTAACGTACTTTCAGGTCCCTGTGCACAACTCCATTATGATGGCAGTGGTGAACGCTTTCCAGGATTTGTTGAATACAGTGTGACGCGTCCGCTTCGCTGTAGAATTCTCGTGCTACTATATCCTCGAACAATTCTCCACCAGTCACTCTGAAAACGTAATAAATTTTACGATCACTAAGTCCTTTCCTCTTATTTGGAATTATTGCATGTGACGTTAGTCTGATCACGTTCGATGCATAAAAACGCTACGCTTCGTGATCAAATATCAAGCATGTAATATTTAAACATACATGTTTCATCAATTGTGTACTATGTGAAAAACTTCCATATTTTATAAACAAATATCTGTCAATTATGTGACGTCCATATTTTATCAACTATGCAATATGTGAAAAACGTTCATATTTGATAATCAACTTTGCAACATGTGACATCATTTCGTTTATTTAATACGAAAATAGTAGCGCGTAAAAATATTTAATTTGTTCGACAAGGAAAAAGTGATATTTTATAATAGAGTACTTTGACATAATGAAAGGCGAGATGTTAATAAAAAGCGTGATCGAAGAAATTTCTAACGATAGGTACCGGATGAACGAACTATCGTAAAACTGATTGGACTCGTAATTAAATGGCTAACGATACTTTTCGCCGCGGAATATCGATACTCGCGTGGATTCATTAATATGCAAATCGGGCTTGATTAAAATTCACGAGGACCGACCGTTCGAGTAATCGTCAGGCGACTGGTACAAATTAACAATCACCGGGCTTCGAAAGAAAATCAAAAACGAACATGGAAAATTCGTTCGTTGTGGAAAATCGGGAAAATCACGCGAGAATTTTGTCGAATAAAACATTTCGCTTTTGTCGCGTTTTTTTTTGGCGTTAAATATACTTACAAGTCAAACACAAGGTAATGGTAATTTTCCTCTTGTATGCTGTCGTGTAATCTCACTGTAACAGAAAAGAAAACACGGACATTAAACATTACATGTTTTAACCAAAATATACACACACATACATACATACATACACATATTCATTCATACATGTAGACATATGTAGACATACAGACATACATACATACACACATACATACATACACACATACATACGTACATACATACATTCATTCATACATGTAGACATATGTAGATACATGTAGACATACATTCATACGTACAGACACATGCATATGTGAACATACTGATATTCATACATACATCTTCATATGTGTAAATTCACACATACATACATTCATGCATACATCTTCATATGTGTAACTTCATACATACATACATTCATACATACACACATATAGAAATACATATGAACATACTGACATTCATATATGCATCTTCATATGTGTATACTCATACATACATGTAGACATACACACATGCATATATTCACACATGTATATGTATATCCATATATACACATATATGTATATCCATATGTACACATATACCTGCATGAATGCCTGTACACATACGAACATTCATATACAGTCACACGTGTACATATGTACGTAAATACATGTACATATGTGTACATACGTGATTGTACATATGTGTACGTCATTATACTCAAAGAAACAGTGCTTCCAAACAGAATATTTATAATCTCCCCAGTCATATTTCAAGGCGTAAGGAAACACATCCAGTAGGAATTATTTATCAGAATTGTTTATTAGACTTCAGATACGATAGCATTTCATGTCGAGTATCATTTGCATCCACGACATTTTGCTCGATCACGACATTCATTAAGGTCAACGAAGAGACGGTGCTCGCGATACAGACCAACGGTCTCCTCGAATCGGCCTTAATTAATGTCAAGTGAGGGCGCGGACCAAGTCTACGCGAAAATCAACGACGCTAAGCGTCTCGCGTTATTTTATGCACTACTAAACAAACTGATAGAACATCTTAGAGACTCGCGTATTTCGTACAATTTAAACGAAGGTAAAACCCGTAGCTACGTTAACTTTCCTCGTTACTGGTTAAAACGAACTTAAAATTAGATTCTTCGTTGGATCGTTCTCTTAACTTGATCTTCCTCGGGGATTAAATTGTCACGCGTTATATTGCTGTGCGTTATAATGACGTGGATCTTGTCGCTTCGCGTTCTATCGTTACAAGTGACGTACTATTTCTTACAATTTGATGAAGTGCAACTTTAATGCGTTTTAATATGATGCGTTGTTATTTGAAGCGCTGTAATTCGACAGCTTGTAACGCAACAGCGTTGTAACTTGAAGTATTGCAATTCAATGCGCTGTGATTCAACGCGTTTTAATATGATGCGTTGTAACTCGACAGCATATCATTCACAGCGTTGTAATTTGATACCTTGGCATTAGAAGCGCTGTGACTTAGCGTGTTGTTATTCGATGCGCTTTGACTCACAGCATTGCAATACGTTGTAATTCGTTGCGCTGTAACTTAACCCGATGCAATACGATGCATTGTAATTTGATGCGCTGTAACCCATTGCGTTGACATGGGAAGCGCTGTGACCCAATGCGTTGTAATTCGATGCGCTGTAAATTTAAGGCGATGGAACCCAACGTATTAGAACTATGGTGCACTAAGACTTCGGTGCGTTGTAAGTTTGTCGCGCTGTAACTTTGGAGCGTTGTAACTTTGGAGCGCTGTAACTTTGATGCGTCGTGACTTCGGAGCGCTATAACTTTGACGCGCTGTGTCGTCGCAGCGCTGCAACTTTGGTGCGCTGTCGTGACAAAGCGCCGTGACTCTGACGCGCTGTAATTTCGGAGCGCTGAAACTTTGACGCGCTGCAATGTCGGAGCGCTGAAACTTTGACGCGCTGTGATGTCGAAGCGCTGAAACTTTGACGCGCTGTGATGTCGGAACGCTGAAACTTTGACGCGCTGTAATGTCAATGCGCCGTGACTTTGACGCGCTGTGCCGTCGGAGCGCTGTAACTTCAGAGCGTCGTAACTTTAACGCGCTGTAACTCGACACATTGTAGCGCTAAAATTCCATATCTCAACGCGATAAAATTTCAACGCGTTATAACTGTCCACGTTGCAACTATTCGCACTGAAACTCCCCCTGATTCAATACGAAACACAAATATTGATAATAACGCAACGACAAGAGGAAATTGTATACGCACGAAAATTGCATTTCCGTTATCAGCGAAACAACCAGTATTCCTTATTTCCTCGTCCGACATTTCCTTCCCCGTACACGAACGACAAACGATAGCTGATAGAAGAAAAAAAAAGAAAATGAACGGAAAGAAACGACTCGATCCAAAACGTGATCTATCTCCATTTCTCTCTTTCTTTCTATCTCGTCGATAAAAATTCCCATAATAACGCTCGTTCTGGTCCTCTGATCTTCGTCTCCCTCTTGATCCTTATTGGATCGGCGGCGGGTATCAAAGTGCGAGAAGATAGGCTCTCTCTATCTTTTTCCTTTTGATCGGCTTGAGGATCATTTGAAAAGGATGAAGGGCAGAGGATCTCTGCCGTCTGAACGGTGTCTCGTTCTTCGGGATATCTCTTCCATTTTCATTAAATTTTGCTGGCTTCGCGAGTTTCCAGGCGACGACCCATCACGCAACGGCTACCTTTTTTCTGCACAGCTTCCCGGACGGTTCGTCGCGATCTCGCGTCGATAGAGGAGACAATTTCTTTCATGTTTTTAGATAACGTATAGAACTGGATTCTCGCCGACTGATATGGGAAATGATTCCGTGGAAACGATTTATCGAACAACGTTTCCGTGATCTGTACAAGTAGCAAGTGCGATTCTCATATTACTTCACGATCTTTTTCATGAGATTCTGAGGAGAGTTATACTGTCTATTTTCTGGATTAGTTTAACGATGCGTGGCTTTATTACGAGTGGTACAATCTGTGCAAATATTATGCTGATAACAATCTTGGTGAGTATTGAGATCAAACACAAGTGGCGATCTAGTTATCATGGTAGTTTCAAACATGGGGATACTATATATGGCAATATACCGCGAGGGAAATACTATGTGTAATAGCATCGCATGTAGAGATTCAAAACGTAAGGATTTACTGTGTGGCAATTTAACACATGGTAATGTAGCGTGTGCAAATTTAACGCGTGGCAATATAACGCGAGGTAATTTGTCATGTGAAAATCTATCTTATGAAAATATAACGGGTAGTACTATAATGCATAGCAATTTACAACTTGACAATGTAATGCGTGTAAATACAACGCGCGGCGATATAACGCGAGATGCTATGACGCGTGGCAATATAGCACGAGATACTATAATGCGTTGCAATCTACTTCGAGAAATTCTACCGTGTGAAAATACAAGGCGTGGAAATATATCATGCGGCGATATAACGCGAGATACTGCGACGCGCGGCAATATAGCACGTGGTACTACAACGCGACGTAATTTACAACGTAGCAATCTATCTCTCGCGTAGAAATGCAACGCGTGGCAATATAACACGCGGCGATATAACGCGAGGTAATGTGACGCGTGGCAATATAGCACGTGGTACTACAACGCATCGTAATTTACCACGTAGCAATCTATCGCGTAGAAATACAACGCGTGGCAATATAACACGCGGCGATATAACGCGAGGTAATGTGATGCGTGGCAATATAGCACGTGGTACTACAACGCGACGTAATTTACAACGTAGCAATCTATCTCTCGCGTAGAAATGCAACGCGTGGCAATATAACACGCGGCGATATAACGCGAGGTAATGTGACGCATGGCAATATAGCACGTGGTACTACAACGCGTCGTAATTTACCACGTAACAATCTATCGCGTAGAAATACAACGCGTGGCAATATAACACGTGGCGATATAACGCGACGTAATGTGATGCGTGGCAATATAGCACGTGGTACTACAACGCGACGTAATTTACCACCTGGCAATCTATCTTGACGAAATACCGCGTGTGGCAATATAACACGTGGCAATGTATCGTATGGCAATATAAAGCTTAACAATATATCGCATGAAAATCTACCACAACGGAGTAGAACACTTGGCAATATAACGGGCGTCGATATAGGGCGCGTAATGGGGTTAACAGGCACTTTGATCGATTCAGAAAATATCAGAGGACGTTAATCTTGGCTAAAAGAAGGAGAAACGAGAGTAAACGGCGTAAGTATCGATCCTGGAAGCCACACCTCGACGCAACGCGTTTTCATGATTACCCCATGTAACCGAACCTTTTCCTCCTTGTTTCTAGACATTTTCCTCTGACATTTCATACCTCTGTGATTTATTATTTGGTGAAATTGTCGAGCGTATCTGCAGGAGGCGCCTAAAAGGTCAAGCTGCTTTCAAGTATGTTCAGAATGCCACAGTCGTAAGCGTGTATCAAATTGATAATGAATTTCCACATAAAATTTCAAAATCCCGCGAGAAATAACGTTACACGAAACTGCTACGATAAAACGTTTCATTCCTCGTGTTTTCATAATTGTAAACTCGACGTAACTTTTTTATTTCGTTACAAAGAATAATTCCGTTCGAAGTATTTAAATTTCAAGTTCTCGTCAGTGTTTTTTTCTTGAATCTTTTCCTGAAGTCACAATAGATATAAATAAACCGAAAGACGTCCGCGAAGCCAGCGATTCGCGGATAAGACGATTAACAAGAACGTCTTCCGCCCACGAAAAACCTTACTACAGGAAAGCTCGTTATTGTCGACGAACGCCGTCTTTATCGTCGTTAAACTTTGTCTCCGTTTGTGATTAGAGGGCGATCCTTGAAGAAATTACGATCGTTGATCCGGAGGCCGTGACAGAAACCCGAACGCCTACTTTTTCTCCCGGAACTCTATTTTTATTTCAAACGTGAAATTGCTGCGTCTTCCATCTAATAATACCGAAGCTACGTCTCTTCTGAAACCACTCATTTGTCAGATGATGTGTTATAAAGTTCTGTTATAAACT